AACAGAGTGTTCCGAAAATCAACACAAAGTGGAAGCGCCTTAAGCTGAAGGTATATTGTTTGTACTGAAGGAGCTCCTGTGTGGACAAGCAGCGCTGACAGCTCAAATGGATCCCATGGAACTGCAAAATGTCAACATTGAACCTGACGAGGAGAGCACCAGTGGAGAAAGTGTCCAAGATAGCTACACTGGGATGGGAAATTTAGAAAAATCAGCAATAAGCAGGTATGGGGTTAAAAATGACCAGGTTCCATGAAAAATAACAGGTTTATGGATGTGGAAAGCAAGGATTTTGTCAGGAAGATTTGGATTTATTACCTACTTGAAAGATAATAGTGTCATTGATGATAACATTAACTCCCTGATTCTAAAATACACATTATATATGATATGCCAGTCCTTTGTGTGACTGAGAATTGAGGTTACATGTTCTTATCCCATTTGTAAGGTAGAATGATATTAATGTATTAGCCTATTACTTCTCCGGCTTCCTGGACTATTCTCTCTCAGGTTCCATGTCCTTTGACTGCCCTTTAAATGTTGCTGCACCTCCAGTGTTCTGTGGGGATTGTTTTCCCATTTAAAGTGCACTGTGTGCAAGCTTATTCACAACTGTCATGGCTTCGTGCCCTGGATGTATCCTGTATCTTCAGCCTGTTGGGTTTCCCAGCTGAATTTCAGATTATCTCCAGCTGTACTGGATGGCTCATGTATCTGAACTGCCTCGTTTATAAAGTCAAACTTGTCACGTCCGCCGCTGAACTCCTGTGATCCCCTTCAAAACCTTCTCTTCCTCCACTGAGTCCCGTCGCAGTGAAAGTCAGCACCTCAATCAAAAGTTGTCCATTTTTGCTCATGCCTCACCTAAACCACACATCCAGTGTTTGACTATATCCAGTTGGTGCTGCCTCACGTTTCAATGTCTTTGTATCTGCCCTGTTCCAGCTTCAGGCCCGCACCGCCCGTCACCTATCTGTTAAAATGGCCTGATGGTCTCCCTGTGTCACATCTCGCTCTCCTCAGCTGGCCCTCCACATCCCTGCAAAAGCCGTCCTTCGAAGTGCAGACTGACTCCGGTTCCACCCTGGGTAGAGCCCTTCAGTAGCTCAGCATTAGGTGTAAGATACGAACTGATGGCACATTGCTTGGCACGCACGGCCCTTTGTGGTCTTCCCCAAACCGGCTCTTCTATCCGTCTCTCCCTCTGCTCCCATTTAGAATCTCTCCTCCTGCCTTTGGGCCACTCAGCTTCCTGCTCCTTCACCCTGCTGCTCTGTCTGCCTGGGGTGCCCCAAGGGGGACCCGCCCTCCGTCCCTTTCTATTGATACCACTCAGCCTTCAAGACGAGCTCCACGTCAGACCTCCCAGGAAGCCTTCCAGCGGGTAGAAGTGGCCACCCCTCCCGATCCGGAGGTTCATAATGCCACTTCTGTGGGCTCGTGTCACACTGCTCGGTACATAGGTACACAACTACCTGATAAGTAGATTCATTTCCCACAGGATATTATGACACAATGGGACATGACTTACGACACTCAGAGGGAACTTTGTACCAAGTCTATGCCTGAAGTAGAGACCATCACCCTAGAACAAGGACACCCATTCCATTCACAGCATCCTGAAGGGCGCCAGGAGGCGGCACCCTCCTTCCTCCAAGGAGCCGGGGCAGCCGCATCAGCACTGCCGGGCTGGAGGGCCGTGGTGACACACACTGCGGTGTTTCCTGGTTTGGGAGATCCTGAGGCACAACGCGGCAGAATACAGGGTTTGGAATCGGCTGAGTCGTTGCCAGACTTGGAGAACATACTTCTCTCCTCTGAGCTTTGGTGGAAACTGCAGAATGATGCACCAACACCTACTTTTCTGAGGATTAAATGCAAGATAGGTGATAGTGACCTGTGGTGCCCTCTCCTCCACCCCGCTGCCCACTGTAACTAGACCGCCTCCAGGGACCCCTGCCCCTGAGGATGGGTGCAGACACGACTCTGTAGAGGTGGCCGTGCTGACGGGGACAGCGCCCCAAGGACAGTGCTGCACAGTCTCCGATTTGGTCTGAAGGCCACAGGGGGAGAGCAGAGTGCTCACGGGGCTCCCCTCTGCCCTCGGCCGGCACCCTGCTCGCCACAGCCGGGCCTTGGGTTCCTGGGAAACACAGGCCGTCGCTTTCAAGCTCATGAGAGGATGGATTTTGTTTATGTCTCGTTTGGATTGGGCACAAATCCAACATCAATGCATTTATTTGGAATCATCATGTTATGTCTTTAATGCCTGTTGGCTTTGGTATCAAGGCATTTAAGACACTGGGAACATTTCTCATATTTTATACCATCTTAGTATGTTTTATGACTACACCTCACCTCATGCCAAATAGCATGAATATTCTTTTCTGAGGCATTTGTACATTTTAAATTTTAAAAACTCTATGGACTAAAGGATTCTAGAGTATTGATCAAGGTAAAAATTGGATACTGGATATTCCAAAGTTTAAGTACAGGTGACACTTGTTTTTATGATCCTTAGGCTCATTTTGGGCTGTATGTTATCTTACAGTCTCAGTTTCCATCTATGAACTTTGTGTACCAGCCTCCGCCTGGCACATATACTAACTGGAGACTATTAGGGACAAAAAGGGACAGGAAGAGGGTGCAGGGATGGAGGTAGGCAGCATCCTAGGGCACTACGCTCCTCGGAGAAACAGGAGAGTGCCAGGGAGCACTGTGAGGTGCTACAAAACCCACCCTTTGGGTTCTAAAAGTGCACACAAACCTTTGTGATTCCTGTCTGCTGGTTCTGTCTACACTTTATGTCCTCAGTCCTCAAAAAGTAACCTTGTTACCCCTTTCTCGCAAGATGTTTTTGGAAATAGCTTCTGTTATAAAGGTTTGTATGGATTTCCTATAATTATTTTCTACTATTTCTAAGGGATATTTTAACAAAACACTCCAATTATTTTATCTACTCTCTCATTCAAGAACTGCCCTAGGAACTGCCACCTTCCTAATTATAAGGCACTTCTGAGAAGCCATCGCAGTTGCCTATTCATGAGAAAGCCTGCAGGCTACTTTGCCAGTGTCACCTCCGTGGCGCCAGCTGGGCTCCTTAGCCAAGCATCCGGGAAGTGCGGCCGGTACGCAGCTGCCTCCTCGGAGCCCCAGCGTGAGCGCAGAGCCGGCAGCAGGGGCCGGGCTTGTGCGGCTCCCAGCCCGCGCCCACGGTGTGCAGGGAGAGAGACGTTTTAAGGCCCTGCTTCCCTCCCAGCTCTCCTACGCATTCCCTGGGTTTCTTCAGTATTTTTCAGTTTCATCCATTGTCTAATAACCCAGGTACATTTTCAGAGTAATTAAAATCCACCCTCACACATGAAGCCACCCAACACAACACAGAGCCACCATCGAACTACTTCCCAGCAAAGGACATGTGAACAAACACGTGGGGCCACAAAAAGAGGAAAATGCTGCAAGGCCCGACGGAGGCCTGCGGCTTCCCCCTCCTGAGCCGTATCTGCCCCCGCAGAGCAGGGCCGCGGACGTCCCTCCGATGGGACGAGGGTCTGTGCCTGTGCACTCGGTAGGCATTCGCCGGATTCACCACCTGACATGGTGCGGTGGGGGTGGGGAGGCTCGGTCACTGCTCTGGGCCCTTTCTTTACAAGTGTCCCAGATAAGGCCAACATTAATCATGCAGGAAAGAGAATTATTAGGGCTAATGTGAGGAAAAGAAACGTGGCTTAAAAAAGGCCGCAACCAAAAAATACTTCCTTCCGGCCCCTCTCCCCCCTCACGCGTGTCCACGCGGAGCCCAGCGGCTGGGGTGGGAGGGACACTAGTTCCAATGAAGAGAAGGAAAACAGTTTCAAGGGTCCTGTTTTCTCTCCCCGATTCAGTTACTTAGATCAATCACCTGAAACAAACAAAATTCAGAGCATTTACTTAAATGTTTTTATTTTCTTATTTCCTTTCTGTGTGCAGTCAGTTTGCTCATGAAGATGCTGAAAGTCAGAAATTCCTGACAAATGGATTTCTGGGGAAAAAGCAGCTGGCAGATTACGGGGATGAACACGTAAGTGAACCTCTGCTTTGAGGCAGTGAACAGGGCCGGAGGGCGTCTGACCCACCTCGATCTCTGTGGGAAAACAATGTGACTGAAATTTTCCAAGCTTCGATCAGCACATTCTCTGTTTATTCAGCACTTACTGGAATAAGGACTTGTTTTTCCTGTTCGCCATATGGCTGCATAAATCATTTATGAAATCTGATTTTTGGAGAAATCATTCTAACCCGAATGTAATCTGCAGCCATCCCCGCTCTCCTTTGCATGTCACTCACCTGTATTTTTTATCTTTGCTGAGACCCCTGCCAAAGCCGAGCCCTACTGTCCGTTGGAAATTACGTGCTTTTGTGGACGCTGAGCAACGGCTTTGATTGGCTGATTTGATCTTAGTCTCCGGTCTTGGGCCATGATCTCCTCCAGTAAAGATAAAGGGGGAGTGAGAATAGCCGCAGATCCCTGCTCACCAGGCGCCCCGTTCTCTCCGAGCAGCCTGGAACCACCTCCTTCGGGATGTCTTCGTTCAACCTGAGCAACGCCATCATGGGCAGCGGCATCCTGGGCCTGTCCTACGCCGTGGCCAGCACGGGGATCGTAGCTTTCGTGTGAGTGGGGGGCGCGCCTGCGTGCGGCGGGAGGCCGCGCGCCCGTGGGGCTCTCCCAGCCGATGGCCCGCGGCCCGAGCTTTGGGACCGGGAGCACTGGGACAGTGTTCCGCGTCTTCCTGCCCTGGAAGCCCGCAGGATAACAGGAGCGGATTAACTGCGCTGCTGGCTCCACCCGCCGCCTGACCCAGACGCAGGAAGTTAACGCGCCCTGCCGGCCCGCACGGCCCCACAGCCATGGATTGACAGGGGGTTTGGTGTTCAACAATTTAGGAGATGTTTCCCAGAAGCACAGATGGCCTCATCACCCTCTTAGGAAAAGATGCCGTTGCAAACCAGGCCTGGAGTCCTGCATCCCTGGCCTCACCTCACGCTCCACCCCCACGGCCCACGTGCCAGGCAGCTGGGCACACTCAGGAGGTGCCACGTTCCCCCTCACCACAGGGTCTTTGCACATGGCCTTGGGGCCCTCCTCCCTCTTCTTCATCTAGGTGTCTCCTCTTAGCTAAGCTCAGCCTCACCTCACTTAGGCCTCCCCGGCCTCCATGGGAGGACAAACCACCTCATCACATGCTCACCAGCTTTAGTGTTCTGGTGCACCTGTCAGACCCACTTGGTTCAGGACCATTTCCTTTGCTAGACTGCAGGCTGCAAAGAGTTGAGCCCATGTCTGCGTCCACTCACCATTTGTATCCCCGAGACCTAGTACAGTGCTTGGCCCAGAAAATATTTGCAGAGTGGCTGAAGTTTATTCCTAAAACTCTGTACTTGAACCAAGCTTGGTCAAATGCTGCGTAGTTTAGCAGTGTCACATAGCTGGCCTGGAGGATGGAAACCGTGTTGTCTGTGACAACCAGCCAGATGCCCGTGTGCAGTGCACACAGCCTGGTTCTCCAGGGCAGCCGGCAGCAGGGGCATTCTTCACAGCACCAGGCTGATGGTGGTCAGGCGTCAGTGAGATCGCAGATTGCAATCCCAGAGCGGGGCTGGAATGCTGACTAACCGTCTAAGAATGCAGCATTTATATTATATTTATATATAATGTTATTTATGTTCTGAACATCACTTATGATTAGATAACCACATAGCTATTTGAGGGTTAAGGATCAGGCAGGATTATAAATATTTGTTGTGTTAATGCTTTGATTGAACGGTTTAAGGTAGACTTTTTAACTGAACATGTTTTTATATTAACGTTGCTCTCGTAAGTCATATCTGAAAATAAGCTAGGTGTTTTTATTTCTGATTCTTAATGGCTAGAATGTCTTCATATATTTAGTAGTGTACTTTTGTAATGTACACTATCTCCAAGACAGGAAGACTGCCTTATTAATAACACAAACCATTAAAATTAATTAGTAAGTTGTTATAAATTGCTGATGAACAGAAATAAACACTTCCCCAGTCCTAGAACCACAGATATTTGCATGGGAGGAGAATATAAATCCACTTTAAAATTGAGTGCTTCATTTCAAGCCTAAACATTTAGCAGGTTAATTTTTCCAGAGCAATTAAATTGCTAGATACCACGGAGCATGCTTCATGTCTCTGAGCAGTGCAAACTGGACCCAGCTATCTCCCTTAATTCACAGCAAGTGACGCAGGATTTCATTGTCTTTACTTTTAGTATTTTCTGCCAAAGCAATTGTATATTTAGAATGCAAAGAATGTTCATTATTTTTCCAGAGAACAAAATTGTATCATCTGAATTGTGTAATTCTATACAAACAGGTAAACTCATAAAGCTTATGGAAAAATTATATGAATGTCATTGACTAGACAGCTTTGGCCAACATTTTGTGGAAAATAAGAGCACAATATAGTTCGAGTAGTTATAAAATTTACAACTGGTGGTTCAGACATACATTTGCAACATTGACTTCATCAGGAATTGCCAAAGAATTAGATCAATTGTGGGGAGAATGTTTAGGGTGCTTTCATCATGTAAAATAGGCAAAGAAGATTTCTTTTAAGCCTCAGGTGAAGTTTAGTATCGTCCCTTTATGTGTATATCACAGATACATGCTTTCCATCTACGTGCTTATTTTTGCTCTCCACTTCTTGTTTTTGGAGAAACACTGATAAAGAAACTGTACATGCCTGTGGACAGGTGGAAGGTCCTGAGCCAGAAATGATTCTTTCTGAATACAAAAGGGGATTTTTTCTGTGCCCTATACTTATCTTTCTCCATTTTCTGTATTACACAGGCAATTATCTGACCCTTGGGTTCACAGAGTATCTTGTCATCTAATGTGCGGGATCAGTGGGGACACAGTTCACACCCTGCATGCTTTGCCTTCTGGATTTCTAGGTTTTAGATTAAGTCTAGGCAGGCTGTTGAATAGCCCTTCAGGTATAAACAATGACAGTATCATGCAAATATGATGTACATATACCCACATGCTGATGTAATAGATATATCTGCTAAATTTGCTATACATTTAGCACCTAGGTTATAAATCAGATTCTGCTACTGGGTGACACCAAAAAAAATGTTAGGAACTTTGGGCAGTACTTTTTGGCACATAAAATATAGCAAACACCAGTTCTATGAGATTAAAAGGGATATGTATTTCTGAAAAGAATTTCTCAGCTTCTTAAAAATACACATTCTTTTGGAAAGTTTAATGAATAAAAAGATCAACATGACCATTCATTGTAACATCTAACATTATTATGTCTTGTTATAGAAACCTTATTTTCTACTCTTTTATTCCTTTCACAGAATCATGCTTCTGGCTATGGCAATATTATCACTTTATTCAGTCCACCTTTTATTAAAGACTGCCAAGGAAGGAGGTATGTTACCCCTGAAGGCCAAGACATTCTGCCTTCTTCTTGTTAAATGGTATTTCAGCCGATAGCTCCATAACTTCAGTCAGTTCCACACTGCATTTTCTTCTGACCCAGTGACGTGGTCTCTCACTGATTTTAGTAATTTGGTCAAGTGAAAGGGGTGGAAATCACAGCTGGCTCAGTATCAAGACAAAAAAGATTTTGGTGGATGATAGAAATAACAGTTCTGGCTTGCTGTATAGAGCTAAGATGAATGAAGCCATTTCTTTTTGTTTGGAGAATATTTTAGCATATTTTGTATTGCCTTTTGAGATTGTGTCTTCTGGGTTTATAATTTCTCTATGGTGTTTCTTTACATGTTTGAGACTCCAGTGCACAATATTAATAGAATATTCTAGCCATGAAAACAATCCTTTTAACAAGGTGATTTTTCCTTTGATTGTAGGATCTTTAATTTATGAAAAATTAGGGGAAAAAGCATTTGGATGGCCTGGGAAAATTGGAGCTTTTATTTCCATTACAATGCAGAACATTGGAGGTAAGAGAATATATTTTGCTTTCACTGGATGGCTTAAACTTTCTAAAATGTTCAGTACAGAAGAAAGCTCTTCTGGCAATGAGCAAGCAATGTAAATATAGGAAAATAGCTGCATTTTAGTTCTTAAATTTTTTAACTCTATTAGACTTTGTCCTTTATTTAAAAATAACAATATCTAAGAATGAAATACTATATAAAACAACCCTTCACCAAGTGAATTCTAGAATTAAAATATAAAATAAAACCTTTAGTTAAAAGTTTAAAAAATTAAAGCATTTCTGTTTATTCTATCATAACAGCTGATGCTTCATGTGTATGATTGAGTTTGTATCATAAAGTTGGAAATTAGGTAGCTGAAGGTCATAGCCAAATACTGGGGTCCTTGAGACACAGCCCATTGCAGAAGGCCCCCAGCTGCCGCGCTGCGGCAAGAGGCTGGCTAGGTGTCCGGGCGTCAGGGACCAGATTCCCTGGCTCCCCACTCTGACAACTGCTACTGAATTGTGATGCCCAGAGTAGAGCCTGGACATAAGTGTTCCGGGGCATATGCTTGCCCTCCAGCTTCACCGGTCCCACTGTGCCTTGGACACTCAGAAGGCGTCCTGACCCACATGTCAATGTCCTCCTCTGTCCTCTTGCCTGGCCTGCCATATCTCGCCACAAAGCAGCACTGGCTTCCTCACCTCCTGCCAGTTCCCAACCAGCTATTCTCCCCTTCTTTCTTCTCTCAGTGAACAATACCAGCACCCCAGTTCCTAAACCGATAATCCGGATGTCAGCCTGAACCCGTCCCCCTCTCCCTAACCCTGAGTGTCCAATCAAATACCAACTCCTGCTCAGTCTGTCTCCTCCATATCGCTAGAATCTCTCTTTCCCTTCTGTTCTCACCACCACAGTTCGGTGGCCCCCGTCTCTCCTCAGACTGGTGCAGTAGCCTCTAACTGGTTTCCGTGCCTGGACTTCCCTTGTCCCCATCTCCAAATCTTCCTTGCTTTTCACAGGCATAAAATTCCTCAGCATGCTCTCATAGTTCAGGATAAAATGTAATGAGCTTGGGAAAAATCACTTTATTCCTTTGAGTCTAGTCTTTCCATTTATGAACATAAGAATATTTCACCTCACAAGGTGATTGTAAGGATGAAATAACATAAGGCACATAATAAGGGTTCCATCCATGCTTCCGACCTCCCCAGCTATTGATTCAAGATCCATGTCTCCGAGCCCTCCTGGTTTTTTTAAATGAACATTTTTGTAATTATAAGACAAATACATGCTAATGTGAAAAACTAAAGCATTACATAATTATACTAATTATAAAGAAATGCTTCTGTAAATTACCCTTAGAAATAGCTAGGGCAGGTTTTTCTCTATGCCAATTTAACAAATACATCATCTTACGATATAAGTGCATCATCTCTTTTGTGATGCATTATCTTATGATACTGACTTGCAGCTTTTTTTATTTCACAGTATGCCTTGGATGTGTGTGCATATTCTTCTTAATGGCTTCCAGGTTTTCCATTATACAAAAGCACCTTAGTTGGTTTACTGAGCCCCTTATTGATGAACAGTTGAGTTGTTTCCAGTTTTTCACTACTACAAACAGGGCTGCGATAAATAAACTTGCACAAGATCTTGCAAAGTAACTCTTTTTGATAAATGAAATCACTGAAAGTCACTAGAGTGATTTCTAGAATGCAGCAATTCCTTTAATAACCTTTATCCAACTATCCTTGCCCCTGATGATGGGTAGTTGGTAAGCAGATAAGTAAAATCTAGGCATATCTCAATGATTTGTGTTTATTTCTTTTCATGTTTCTATGTATTAAGATTACAATCCTGGATAGAATTTGGCAGTAACGCAAGAATTGTTTATTTTATTGGTTTGGGGCCCCAAGCATGTAAGTCCTCCAACTCCCCCAAGCAGGCTGCTTTCCATTTTCAGCCTTATCAGGATTTAAAGTATCAAACATTTGTAGGATCAGTTCATAGTTGATCTCCTGTCCTGGCTTGGACAACTGAGATCTGGGTGCACACACATTCAGCCTAAGCCCGGTAGGCAGAGTGGCCATAGCATTGCCTCTTATCCAAAATGCAGCTACTCTTATGCTTCTAAACAATGGAACAGGCTGTAAAGTAGCCTCTCGGGTGAGGTTCATGCAAAGGGAGTGTGACTTTAGAAGAGAAGGATGGGATTTCATGGCCCACCCCTGAAAATGCCCTCACTTGGTCACTTTATATGGTTAATGGTTCCTTTGGCCTAAAGGAAATCACCTGTATTTCTGTATTCAGAGCAAGTCCACACCTCTCAATCCCCTGAAAAATTACTATTTATTTGCCACAGATGTTTCAACATTAGCAGAACAATGCTGACATTACCAGACAGGACAGAATCATTCTGAATTTTCAAAGACCAAACACATTAACAGCGGTGACATCACTGAAAGTCAGCAATTAATAAAAAAAATAAAGTCACTGAGCCGGGTAATCAGAAATATCGTCTCTGTTTACACTCGTTAAGATTTAGCTTTAGCCAAGGTCTTTGTAAAGATTAACCAAGTAATGTTTACAGAAGACACATCAGGTATTGTGAAAATCATTCCACTTCAGAAAAGAGAAGAAACACTGGCCAGCAATCAGCGATCTCATATTTTGGGTGACCTGTCACTTTCAAGCTGGGTGATCTTGGGCCTGTCACTTGAGCTCTCAGAACCTTTATATCCTCAGCTATGGAATGAAACTGTACATCCTGCTGTTTCACGTAGCCTTTCCGCCAATCAAATGGAGTAAAGCACATGGGGAATTATCACCATTATTACTTTTGTTTGAGGTTCAATATTTTTAAACTATTAATAGTTCAATTTGCAACTTTCAGTAAAGATATCTGCTTTAAGTGTCTGTTAGCAAAAGTTCACCAGAAGGAGGTAGTGCACTTAAACTTTGCAATGCAAAACTTGTCGGTTTTTAATTTAAATAAATTTTACTTAATTTATTTGACTATATGTCAAATACCAAATTAGTTATTTTACCTCACTGACTGGATAGACATGAGAAGGGATGTTGCACAAATCCCTACAATATTAGGCAAAATTGTATGTTATGTGTATATATGCATACATACAGTTTTCCAGGACAGGGTTTACAGATTTCATCAGATTTTCAGAAGAGAACATGATCACACATTTATCACATCTCAAGAAATTTTGCCACTTTGCATAATTTTTTTATTTGGCCAAAGGGAAAGTAGGACACAGAGAGTCAGAATCTTCCCTGACAAAGGTAGGAAAGGCTCCTGTCCCTTGAAACCTTCTGTCAAGCCCTGCACTGCAGCGTGAACACCAGGGGCTGGAACGTTGTGTGCCCCTCGGGAGGTGCAGGGAACCAGGCTGGCACCCCCTGGGGTGAGCCGGTGATGTCTGCCCTCCCCCGGCCCAGGCCCTTGCTGCCCGACCCGTGCGCATGTTGTAGGCTCCACAGCACGTGCAGGACAGGCTCCAGCTTATGCCCGATGAGGGAGGAGCTCAGAGAAGCTTCGCTGGAGACCTCAGAGCTGGATTTAATAGAGTCGGCGTTGACAGTCAGCCAGGTTCCGTAAGCAAGGGCCAGAGGGCCAGAGGCTGTTCTTTGAAGAACTTGGAAGCAGCACAGGATGCTAGGTGGGTGGCCTGTCTTTCCCTGGGGGTTCGGTGCTCACCTTGCTGAGGACGGATGTCCCAGGCGCCAGCACTTCCCTCAACCTGCCTGTGCTCTTGCTACATGCACACTTCTAAGCTGTCACGTTTTCCATTCTAGCAATGTCAAGCTACCTCTTTATCATTAAATACGAACTACCTGAAGTAATCAGAGCATTCATGGGACTTGAAGAAAATACAGGGTATGTGTTCTGTTCTCTCTGTTAAGTGACTTGTCCCCTTGGTCTTTCTGAGCCTAACACTCTTTTCTGTCCTTCTTTCCAGAGAATGGTACCTCAACGGCAACTACCTCGTCATATTTGTGTCTGTTGGAGTCATTCTTCCACTGTCTCTTCTTAAAAACTTAGGTAAAGTCATTGAATTTTTCTTTCATTTCATGTTGCAGTTGGTAAGCTGGTTGTAGATGCCATATTCACCTTCCAGAATTTCTCTGCTGACCCTAGGTTACCTTGGTTACACCAGCGGATTTTCTCTGACCTGCATGGTGTTTTTTGTCAGTGTGGTAAGTGATTTTTTGACATGATCCTTGTAGCTTGGTGAGCATGCGATGTTTCTATGCCTAAATTAGTGTTCAAGCACCTCGCTAGCGTGAAATAGTTCTCACATCATAGACCATTTTCTTGAATTCTAATTTGGAATGAGAAAAGAACAGTCATGAGTTTAAAAATAGTTGAGTTAGAATGCCAGGGTCGTTGCTCATAGTGCGTTCTCGGCCCTCTGCACGTGCACGGGACAAAGGGGACGCTTCAAGCAGTGACAGCAATAGTTGAGTTAGAATGCCAGGGTCGTTGCTCATAGTGCGTTCTCGGCCCTCTGCACGTGCACGGGACAAAGGGGACGCTTCAAGCAGTGACAGCAATCCAGTATTTACAGAGGAGGAGAACGTGAAGAATCCCGAGAGAAACGACTAGGGTATAAAATTAGCCATAAGTTCAAGAATCAGCTGTTTTCTCTTAGTCATTTCCCCCATGAAGAGAGAGCAACACAGTGGATTCAAAGAAGAAATCCTTCTCTCTACCACCCCACTCCCCACCAAAAGGGGGAATTTCTTATAATATGATGGATGCCAAATCGTATACTGTGTCTCCCCCAAAGAGGCAAAGGACAAAGGGGAATTTTTGATAGCCCTTATTATCACTGGTTTGACGAAATAAAAGATATGAAATGTAGCAAGGAAATGATCATCTTTTTCATGGAAGAAAATGAAGCTTAGGATGGATTTATGCAAAATACTATTTTATTAGTATTATGGGGCAGAGATGCCAAGCAGAATGCCAGCTCCCCTTAGAACAGCGACCAGAGGGGATCCCGGCCGCCCAGAGGCTCATGGGAACCCTCAGCAGAAGCCCCTCACCTCTACCCTGTAAGGCACACATACAGATTTGTTTTATTGTTCTCCCCAAAAGGCTAACTGGTTTTTTTTAATGACTGGGTCTAGGTGATTTACAAGAAATTCCAAATACCCTGCCCTCTGCCCATTCTGGATCATACTGCTGGAAATGTGACATTCAACAATACGCTTCCAGTGCACCCGGTAATGTTGCCCAACAGCTCTGAGAGCAGCGGCGTGGACTTCATGCTGGATTACACCCGCCAGAGCCCTGCAGGGCTGGACGGGAACCAGGCCAAGGGCTCTCCTCCCGGGACTGGAGTAGAATATGAAGCTCAAAGTGACGACAGATGTCAACCCAAATACTTTGTGTTCAACTCGCGGGTAAGCGGAAGGCCTGGGTCTGAAGAGCCTGGTAATGTGGCCCCTAGTTTTCGTCATAAGCCAAAGCCGAGCTGGCCTGGGATTGCCGTGTGAATGGAGTGCTAACCATGTGCTGTCTTTGTCTTTCAGACGGCCTATGCAATTCCTATCCTAGCGTTTGCCTTTGTGTGCCACCCCGAGGTCCTTCCCATCTACAGTGAGCTTAAAGAGTAAGGCAGCCACCATTCCAGCATTCTAATTGCTTTGCAAATGTGCTCATTATGTTCAAAGGTGCTTTACACAGAAGCAGGGTGCATAGCTTTCTCTTCAGGAGGAGCATGTGCTATCCACACTCATCAGCATCGTGCTTTAACCAGACAGGTATAAATCAGCTCCCTTCTCTCCTGTTCCTCGGCCCTAATTGTCCAGGGGAAGAGTTCAGGGCAGCAGGAGGAGGAGCCAGTGGGGATTTTGGCAGCTATGGGAAATTTGAACTTGCATTTTGTTGGGAAGCATGATGTCACCTGAACTGGAAATGTCACACCTATGCAGGCCAAAAATATGGTCAAGGTGGTCCAGCGAGGCCACTGGTGTCACCTGTGTTCATGGCCTCACCCTCGTCCTTTACCACAGGGATGAGCCAGTATCTGGCCTCATGGTCTTATCTGTACAATGCAGACACTGGCTACACAGTCGTTTCTCCCAGCTGACGTTCTGTGATTCGTTGACACTCTCCTCTTTGAGGCTGTTGACACGACGTGGGGATAGAGCGGGCCCACTAGAGCAGCTTTCCCCCCACTCCGAGGTCCTGAATCCCAGCTTCCCTGACCTCAACATCATGACCTCAGCCTTCATTCTCACTAGTAAGAATCACTTGCCCCATAAACTCTGATTTATGTCATAAATTCTTGGAACACTTTCAATTATTTTAATGTCCTGGATTTACATGGAGAATCACATAGAGCAGTTTTGTTAAACCTGGTCTTGGCCAGAAGACCGAGAAGGGACCGCAGCTCTGTAGAGGCCTGACAACCGCCTGCACAGCTGCCCAGGGAGCAGGGGGGCCTTCTGGTCCTCTGAACTTGCCAAGTGCCGCCCTGAGTGTAGTGGGTCCTGGTCTGCATGACGTCCGCCCCGCTACGAAACGTGAGGGCTTTCCACATTGGGGAAACAGTCTGACCTCCTGTTACCTCCGTGGATACTCAGTAGACACGCTTACTCAACATGAAATAAACTGGTCCCTTTTAGGACAACATTGTTTAAGAAAAAAGCAGAAACAAATCATCCATAGTTCTGGGACAAATTTACATAAGCTATGTTTCTGCACTAGAAACATGGTTTTATATTAGCAATACAGACATATTCTTTCATTGTTTTTAAAATCTTAGTTGTAAAAAAGTGATATTTTCACAAGTTAAAAAAGAAATGAAGCTCAGTGTTGTTTCCGTGCTCTCAGCCGGTCCCAGAGGAAGATGCAAACCGTGTCGAATGTTTCCATCACTGGGATGCTGACTCTGTACGTGCTGGCCGCCCTCTTTGGTTACCTGACCTTCTATGGTAGGTCACTCTGTCAGAGTTACTGTCTTTGTGCAAATCCTGGTTGGACTGATCATAAACCCGCATAAGTATAATTCTTTTACCTTCTGCAGGCATCATTATCTACAGCTACTTGATTCACATGCCATTTGGCCTTGTCACTTGACCTAAGGAAATGGGGTTTGAACCCAGCCTGGCCGACAGGTTACAGTTTGTGAATTCACACATATTTTATAAAAAAACATCCCTCAAATTTAATTATTTTCCTTAAGGGATGGATTCTATTTCTCTGGCTTGACTCCATAGGCCATTTTAAGCTAGAAGCAGTGAAAGTGAATCCAATTGCATGTTGTAAAGCTCTTTGGGTGTGATAATTAACTACCAAGAAAATGGCAGAAAAAGCACAAAGTCCTTGAATTGGAACCTGCTCCTTGTTTTTTCCAGTCAAGGAGAATCTGGGGGCTTGAAGTGTTAGGCAGATTATCCGGCTTACCCCTTTCTGTTCTGTCACAGAGAATGGTTTCCTAAGACGACAGAATTCCCTTCAATCTGGAAATATGCTATTAAAAACAAGTGACTATGACCACGTTAGAGTAAATGCCTAAAACATTTCTTCTATGGTATCTTAACAAGACACAAAAGGGAAAGGATGGCTCTTCCCTTCCATGAGCCGTGACCCTGCTGTCAGATTTCAGGGGTGCAAACGTTGATCTGGCGGGGCATGTCCATGGTAACTGACATTATCAACATATTTTTAATATAAACCTCAAGTTTTTTGGATTTTTTCCTGACTTGGTAAGTTAAATTTGTTGCAAGACAAGTTGTGGAGGAAAAGACTGGGTACGGGCATCATTTTCTGGGGTTTCCTTCTCTTTGACTAATACTTGGCCATTAACTGGGCTCTTGTGTTAGCTAAGGTCTCAGCTCCCTACTGGCTGTGAATTGATGAAAGATCAGTACTGTCGAAGGTATTTTTAAGCCCCCTTTGTCTGATTTTGAGCGAGTAGTGGGAAAACCAAACATCTGATCCTATAACATCTTCCTGCCTTTTGTGTCTGGAATTCTGAACGAATGTGTTTACCAGGAGGGCAGTATCTAATCTTACAGCAATTTTCACTGGGAGCCCCTGTAAAAATCACACTAATTCTTGCCTGTTACTTATTTTTAATGACTCTAAATGGTTTTGTAAGACAAGCAAAACCTTGAGAAAATCTAGAAATATGTTATCAGTGTCATGATGGAGCCATACTGTTGAGCCTGATTCATCATCACTTGCACTCGGGTCTCAGACGAGGTTTGCAGAAGCTGCATCAGAGCTCACTGGGCAGGCAGTGCAGGTGGCAGTGCAGGGCAGGAGCTGGCCGTTCATCCCCCTCTACCTGTGTCACAAGGCTTCTGTACAGTGGAAAGAGATTCGTCATGGCGCACCTGAGGGTACAAAGGAGTAAGAGCAGAGCTGTGATCTCAGACCAGCGTCTGTACTGGGTCTGAGAGAAAGTCCCCTGGCTGACAAGCCCAGAGGTGGGATGAGGGTGGACATGTCCAGACCTCCAGGCCTGGGCCCTTCCTGCCTCCCTGTGCCCCCTCTCTCTCCGAGGCTGGAGGTGACTCGGTGATGCCGGGTGACACGATCTCCTCCTGCTCGTAGGAGAGGTTGAAGACGAGCTGCTCCACGTCTACAGCAGGGCCTGCACGTTTGATGCCCCCCTCCTCGCGGTGCGGCTGGCTGTCCTCGTGGCCGTGGTGCTCACTGTGCCCATCGTCTTGTTCCCAGTAAGTACCTGACCCAGTGGAAGGGCCCTGCCTGGCCCCAGGTTAGTACCTGTGCTCTGGGTGAGTGTGCGTTGTGACACCCACGGGCATTTCTGTGCAGCATTTTGGAGCCACTCAAAACGGACCATGTGATATGTAAACACAGCAAGTACGTTTAGATGTTTTATTTTTATTTTGGGGATGCATACATAAAAAAAATTTTATATTGAGGTACATACAGTAAAAATGCACAAACTTTAGTTTATAGCTTGATAAATTTTGACACGTATATATTTGTGTAACCATTGCCTAGATTAAGATTTTTTTTCAAGGGAAAAATAAAATGAAAAACTTTACATGTATTTTCCAGCTTTACTAAGGTTGAAATTTTTAAATTCAGATTTGAAAAGCAGATCTTCAGCTTCTGTCTTGTGGGTAGCAGAAATGAGTAGGAATTCATGTAACTTCTGAAAGTTCAGAGCCAAAACCACAGCAATTTCCAAATCATACTGCATTTCCGCCACAGTCCTGAAGGTATTTAACTTTGTCCCATTAGTCATGCTTCAGAAACATCCAAAAGTCACCTCATTTAACCAGGTTCCTTGAAGGCTAATGAGAAGGGAATCATGCTAGTAAATTCTGTTCCAGAACCAAATTTCTTGAGAACAGTTGTGCCATCCACTGTATGCCTTCTGGCCCCAGGCTGACTCACCCCTCCCGTCTCGGCACCTGCTGCTGGTGTCGGTTGTAGGGACGGAGGAGCCAGGCTGGTGGGGGGCTGCGTGAGCTAAATCACACCTGTGGATGGACACAGGCCCATGCCTTCCTGCCAGCTCTTCTTTCATAAACACTGAATTTACTCATTCATCTTAGGGGGCAAATAAGCGACTCAGTAGCCAGCCCTGTCCAGAACAGAATGCTCCGCAGGCCCAGTGCATGAGAGCTGCTCAGGGGCACTGTGGTCACTCTGAATGCAGCTTGTGCCCTGAAATATTCTGTCACATTCCGTCTTCCTGAGTGCATGAAATCAGATCCTTGTTACTATGGCAGTGAATGTTTTACTCTTAAATAATGTCTTGCCTCTCATATATCTGGAAGTATTTCGAATGACATGCACTCCGTCATGGGTACAAGGCGGAAAATAGCTGTAGACAGAAAGAAATTTTACCCTACATGGCACCCTAAGTAAACAGTGTTGCCAGAAAAAAGAACTATCTGGAGCTCTTCTCTTTGTGGGTAAAGACATCACTGAATTTTGGCACATAGTAGGCACATCATTACTGAATCCAAATTGATGAAAGTCTGTTATATTCTTCTGTGCTCATGACCCTAAACGTAGTACTTTCCGGTGGTGGCCAGGGGCACGGTGGCCTGGGCAGGTCACTCAGCTCCTCACAGGGAGCTGGACTAAAGCAGAGCTCCAGGCAGACACGGAGGGTTGCAGTCCCGGCAGCAGGAGTAAGTCAGCCTTTCATTTGTTTACCGGTGGCCATTTCACCTCCACCCTAAAACTCCAGACCTTGCCCTAGAAATCCTTCCCTGGCATACCAGATAAGGCCCTGGTATAAAGCGACCATCAGTAGTTTGGAAACATCTCCCATTTTATACCCATGAGAATCAAAACTGGCCATTAGAACAAAGTTCAGAAAAATAACTGACTGCTGTCCATTAAGTATTTTCACTCAACATCAGCATTTCTGGACATCTTTGTATGACATTCTGCCTTGGGCCACGCACTGAGTTGATGTCCCCGGAGATGCACACAGTGACTGACATTGGATGAATTCAATGATGTTTGCTAAGAAAAGCTGTCTCCAAAAGAATACAGGCCACCGCCTTGCCCGACATCCGCCATGACCCTCAGGTTGAGTGAGGATCTGGGTTAAGTGAATCATGCCTCCGTGGATGTGACGGTGACATGAAAGTAGGGCCAGCTCCAGTCCCAGCCCCACAACTACATTCAGATGCTTTTCCGGCAAAGTGGTAGAAGTTGTTAGTGGTATCTGTGTCTCTTACAACTTAGAGCCCCAATCTTTAGTGTCAGACACCAAGTCACAGCGCCACACCCCTGAGAGGCTGCTTTGAATTAAGCTCATAACCAGGAACAAGTTAACTGGCTTTGCCTTGATGCCCCCACATACAAACCAAGACCAAATCCTGGCCAAACCCGTCATTTTAGGTGTTTCTTGCCTTCTGCTTCATTCACCATGAAGTGCTCTCCTTCGGGGCCCAGGAGGAGCTGACAAGGGGGGGTGTTGCTGGGTGGCCAAATTTTTTTCTGATTTCTCCATTTACTATTTTCTCCTGTTAGGTTTTTTCCTTCTTAGTAAAAGGCACACGTGGACTGCCTGGAATGACTGTTGAATAGATGAAGTGAACTAATAAAACTCCAGCTTTTTCACTAGCAGTTCAACATCCCTTTTCTCTTTCTCAGTGGGAATGGGGGTGGGGGTGGGGGTGGAGGTGGGGGCTCTGGGGACTGTGTCTCATTCCCAAGGACTGTAAGGCCGTTCTAGCCCATGCTTCCCTTTGTGCTGTAAAGCTCACACATCTCCAAGAAGAACAGAGGCCCAGATAACCTTAGTGCGTTTGCCCAGAACACAGGCTCAGATTCCACCCGCCACGCCTTAGAAGAGGCACATCAGATTCTTTAGCTGCTTGGGCTGCATTTTATTGCAGCAAAGCTATGCTTTTCCTGCTGGCTACCAGCAGAGCCCCTATTCTGCCGCAGATGCAGATGCAGGCATGAAATGAGGCTGGTGCCGCTGTGAACAAGACTACACCGACAGCCTGTCCAGCAGCCCTACAGAGGGAAACTGACTGCTGAACGACAGAATTATGTGTTAAGAGTTCAGAACCAACACTCCCACCTCCCACTCAGCCTCCCCATTTCTGATGTTTACAGGGTTCCCACATTAGAACATAGCCCCTCCTACCTGGCTCTTGTTCAGACAGATCTTCCCTAGAGCTGCACAGAGCTCTTCTGGAATCACCCTGGGTAGGAGGCTATGGCTGTTGCTAGGGACTCCCCCACCCTTAGCACCTGACCCACATTTCCAGGTGCTTATCAGTTTGTGTCAGTAGAGAAAAGGGCACTTAGATAAGTGAACAGCCAATAGCCCAGGAAAGGAGACATGCCAGGACTTAGATCCCAGGCTCAGCCTGAAGGCAGCATTTTAGCCTGGAATGAACAGCATGCTCCATCTATTCTCTCCCACCACCAGCAGCCACTACCTCCCAATTGCCCCCAGTGTGCCCTGTTTAGGACACACTAGCCACTCTCTGCCTTTACTTCTGTTTGGGGTTTTGTTTTCCAGATACACTAACAGGAGGAGGTTTTCACCATCCGCCCAGCCCATGGTTGCTGTGAGCCTTCTGTGCTCACGCCACTAGGCCAAGCCTCAGTCTTTCTGGGAGCCGGGAGGCCTTAGGAAACCTCATGTCCTTTCCAAGGCCCTGTATGTGTGCATTTGCCTCCACCTCAGCTTATTGAATTAAATGCATTTTAACAAAGGACTAAAAAGCATACATGTTGACTTTTCTGCATGGAAATAACCTGTGTTCTATGTGTTTATTACGTAAGTTTAGCGCTTTTAGACAAATCCTCAAGTACTGTGTCCATACCACAAAAAGCTTATATTAAGCCTACTAATTAGATCAGTTTGGGCAATATGAACAAGCACTAGTTGTAGGTCATGATGCAGAATTTATGGGCTGCTGGGGGAATGAATCAGACCATTTGGCCTCTTGGTCTGCTTGTCAGAGTGCGTTTCATAATTCTCACTGATCCAATTTTTTTATTCCTTTCCAAAGCCACTCTCAAACTGCTTCCAGAGACTACCTGGGTTGCCATTCTGGAAATGAAATTGCCTTTGAAACTGAAACAAGTGGCTTTAATTCTGGTGGCGTGCTGTGAAAGCGCCACCTTAGAAACTGCAGGCAACTTTGTGCTGTCCATACATGTGGTCTGGTCATTCATATGTAGGTTCCAAAACATATTTTACATTTTCTCTTTTACCCGAGTTCCCATCTCCCCACCATTGAGAGGCTCAGAAATATAATTTCAAAGCGAAAATCAATTCCAGCATTTCTAAAAATGTGACGTCCTAGCTTAACTGAAGTGGGCACTTATCAAAAAGCCAATAGACTAATTCCACTAAGTCAAAAAGTGTCCTCTAAGAGACCAAAGAGTATTTTCAATTTCCTTAAGCTGTTCAAACATAAACAGCACAACCCCCTCCCCTGCGCCCGTCCCCTGCCCTCCAGAAGGCCCTCTCCATCCAGTTACATCAGGTGACTTGAGCTTTTACACACGGAACCTCCCTTGACCCTTTGCCTACTTACTTCAGACCCTAAAATAGGCCTGAACTCTGCCAAGGCTCCTGAAGGGAGGAAAAGGATTTTGTTCGGGAAGAATTTGTGCTGTCCAGTTTAATGTTTTGAGTGTCTGCTGCATGCGGGACACTGAACTAGAAACTGAGGAATGTTATGATTGTTCAGTCCTGTTCCTTGCATTTTATGCATCTTTACTTGGGGTGGCAGAAGAAAAAGGAGTAAACACCAGAGAATATCACATTTTTTAAAATACCGGGTGGCAAAAACACTAAATAAAGTGCAAATTTAATAACCCAGTTTTGTAAAAATTCCATTTACCATCACATGCAAATTAATTCAGCCCTTGCCTTAATACTAAACCCATTCTGATGAGACATGATTAGAAAGTAACAAGGGTTTACTGTGTCTCTAAGTTACATAGCTTGTGTTATTTTCTCTCTTCCTGGCTGAGGTTTTTAAGGAAAAATTCTGAAAGCTGAGAAAATGAGCACACAGTAAGTCACCGAGGAAAATGTCTCCAGCGTCAAAAACCAGCATCTGGGTTTTCAACAATGTGAGCAGGTTTAATACCACTGAGCTGTACACTTTACAATGGTTGGGTGGTAAATTTTGTGTTGTGTGTATTTTACTAGAATAAAAAATACTCCAAAAAAAAGCAGCATCAAAATCTTTTTTGGGAGAAAAAAGAAAAAGACAATGATTAAGGGTGATAACAATATTTGAAATAGTGGCTAAAGTCAAAAACAAATCAGCAAACTTGCCTTTGAACTTTCTTGTTCTAGATTCGGACGTCAGTGACCACACTGTTATTTCCCAGAAGACCCTTCAGCTGGATAAGACATTTCCTGATTGCAGCCATGCTTCTTGCACTTAATAATGTCTTGGTCATCCTTGTACCAACTATAAAATACATCTTTGGGTTCATTGGTGAGTTTCTGAAGGGCCTTTTTTTACTTGAGCTGGTGTCTCTTTTAGCAGTGGACATGGAGCCAGCGATGGGAGGTCAAGGACCCCGGTCTGCCTCAGGCTCACAGGGCCCCTGTTAGACCAGCTGGTCACCTTTCGTCCCTCACAGATGACACAGGAAGTTATTCACAGGATCAAAAAATGTTAGCGCTAAAAGCCACCCTATGGGAATCTGGTCCAACTGGACCCAGAATGTAGGCTTAGGTCCTGACTGCTTCAGAATGTGAAGAAGATAGACATTACCTGCAGGCTGACCATGCAGGCCTCTGAGTCCTGGCTGAGCGTCAATGGCTATCTTTGGAGGAGGTGGACATTGAAAGCATGTTCTTTCCTTCAATTGTGTGACCTGTTAATATATTTAATTTTTCATTCTTCAGATTTGAGAGTGTAGCTCCAGGAGTAAGGGGGTCCCCACCCGGGGCAAGAACAAAGGAGGACAAGGGGAAGGGCAGGTCGGGAGAAAAGGTTCTTATTGCTCACAGCTCACTCGGGTTGCTAGCCGGCACTGGATCCATCCGCCCCTGCTGCCCTTTGCATGCCCGCTTCCCCCTGCCTGCCCCTTCTGTCAGGAACTCCATCAGTGGGTCCCTGGTGAGTGGCGGCCTCCAGACCAGTTACATACCAGGAACGGAGGGGAGGAAAGAATGGCTGTTTTCTCTCCACCCCTTGCCCCAAATGGACTGGAGGCTCTGCCATGGTGATCATCCATTGGTATGAAAATAGACTAAGGCCAGGTGGGAAATTCTGGATGAAAATTTCCATTTACCCCACAGAAGGTTTACTCAAACTTTAAATACAAAATTTTAAGATTAGAAGTAAGCAACTTGAAACATTAGAATTGGATAGGGGTGTGTATGAGTTCAGTTTCCTTAGTGTTTATATCACTAATAGCCTGTAAATTTATAACATTGAGCCTCTTGTGTATCATGTTATGTGTCCTGCTATGTTATGTCTACAAAGACTAAAATGTACCTAAGTTCTTTGAAGGAGCAACCTAGATGAGTTTCTGATGCTTTCAGTACTAAGATAAGGGTCACCTTAGATTTGATTTCTTTGAAGTACAGAAGTGGCCTTGGGCCTGCGCCTTGCTAGTCAGCCGAGTAAGACATTGACCTGCCCTGTGTCTTTCCTCAGGGGCATCTTCCGCCACTATGCTGATTTTCATTCTTCCAGCAGTTTTTTATCTTAAACTTGTCAAGAAAGAGCCTCTCAGGTCTCCCCAAAAGATCGGGGTAAGTAAGCCGGCAGTTTCTCCCCTTATAACTTGCTCTTCAGTCACTTAGAGTAAGCCAGAAAATACTCATGGTTCCAAAAAATGAATTGATAACAAAGACCAAAAATCACTAGATAAGCTGGAACTCTGTAGGAGAGACAAAGGGGTAGATTTCCAGCACTCAGAGTGTTCTGAAATTTCTTCTTTACAAATATCAAGTATTCTGAATTGAGTCCTTACCACTGAATGCATGTCCCCAGTTCCCACCACTGAGTACTGGCTACAGGAAGTCAGCCTCCCGATCAGTGTTAGGAAGTGATTTCAACGTTTTGGTCATACGTTAGGTCTGTGAGGTCTGAAGTAAAGACGGTGCTTAGTGTTCCCCTCCTTGGACACTGACCCCTGTTGTGGACTGAGATCCAGTACAGAACCTCTGTCTGCCTGTTAGAACTATATTTTATACCTAAAGAGGTTATTGGCTAGAGAGTATACATTTCCTTTCCATAATGGTACTATAAAAATGCACTAGAAATAATTTTTGTAATGATTAAATATTATCAGTTACTGTTTAAGAAAGTATTATATCAAGTTTGGAAAAGAATGTCTCTTACTGATACAAAAAGTAAGATAATTCGCATGTGTTTAAAGTATTCTGTGATAAAAGAACGCCTCGACTTGAGTCTTGCCTGGGAGTCATTCACCTCTCGGGGTTGTTTAGGTCTCCAGGACAGTTTGCTATCAAAAGCTCCTCCCATGATTTTGCCCCCAGAATATCCACTCTCTGCAATCCCTCTTGCTTCAACTTTTATGGCAGTGTGACTTTGCAAATTATTTCTCCTGCTTGTGACCTGTTTTCAGTTTGACCAGATGTAAAAATGAGTAAAATTACCTCCTAGATCCTTCCTAGTGAAAAAAAATTTTAGCTAACTGGCTACAGGAAGTCAGCCTCCCGATCAGTGTTAGGAAGTGATTTCAACATTTCGGTCATACGTTAGGTCTGTGAGGTCTGAAGTAAAGACGGTGCTTAGTGTTCCCCTCCTTGGACACTGACCCCTGTTGTGGACTGAGATCCAGTACAGAACCTCTGTCTGCCTGTTAGAACTATATTTTATACCTAAAGAGGTTATTGGCTAGAGAGTATACATTTCCTTTCCATAATGGTACTATAAAAATGCACTAGAAATAATTTTTGTAATGATTAAATATTATCAGTTACTGTTTAAGAAAGTATTATATCAAGTTTGGAAAAGAATGTCTCTTACTGATACAAAAAGTAAGATAATTCGCATGTGTTTAAAGTATTCTGTGATAAAAGAACGCCTCGACTTGAGTTATCCTGAGTCTTGCCTGGGAGTCATTCACCTCTCGGGGTTGTTTAGGTCTCCAGGACAGTTTGCTATCAAAAGCTCCTCCCATGATTTTGCCCCCAGAATATCCACTCTCTGCAATCCCTCTTGCTTCAACTTTTATGGCAGTGTGACTTTGCAAATTATTTCTCCTGCTTGTGACCTGTTTTCAGTTTGACCAGATGTAAAAATGAGTAAAATTACCTCCTAGATCCTTCCTAGTGAAAAAAAATTTTAGCTGCTGCTTCCTCAGATATAGAGGTTGATCTCTGTAGTAATATATATGAAGCCCTTTCTAGGGGTACAATTTGAAATAGAGTTTATGGTTACTGCCCCCCCCCTATACTCACATATATACACTGGGTTTTTCTTAAGGAATATGCAGCATATTAGGACTTTTCTTGATAAAGCATGATCATATCATATGTACTGTTCTTTCACAACCTGTCCTTTCCCCCTAAGAGTTCATGAGCACACCCTACGTCATTAAATCCTTTTCTATCACTTGATTTTGAATGGTCACAAGATGATTTCCTACAGCAAATGATGGAACAATTAATTTTTTCTCTGTTGGACATTTGGGTTAAATCGCCCCCGTTTCCCCACTGAGGGTTCTAAGTTGACTGGATTGCTCGTGTGGACATCTGAACTGTAAGAGTAATTCAATATGCAAATAAGATTGCCGCCCTAGGTAAACAGCTTATGGAGCAGACTGTGCTAGGCAGCCATGTTTTCTGCGCTCTGTAACAAGCCATCTCTGCTTTTCAGGCTTTGGTTTTCCTTGTGGTGGGGATCGTCTTCATGATTGGAAGCATGGCCCTCATTATAACTGACTGGATTTACAACCCCCCATATTCCAAGCATCACTAACGGAGGAAAAAATATCTTTTCTATTGGAAATGGTTACAAATTATGCTCCAAAAGACATTTGAGTTATCTTGACTGAGTGTTACTCAGGAAATAACAGGAAGACTCCAAAGACTTCCTAGTAACATCACCAGGTACCAGCAGGAGAAAAAGTCATTTTTGTCACGAGTGGCTGTTTATATGTTTAAAATCTGTGGTGCACATTTCTGCCCAGGTTTCACCAAAGCAGTGAGAGATGTACTAGCTGCAGTAATGGTTGTCAGATAATACCTCCCCTCCTTCCCTGTCTCCCAGGAAGAGCCAGATGCGTGTATTCTCGGAACATCAAAAATGCCCCAGGGGCAAAGCTACCTATCACCACTTGTGCCTTCTCCCAGTCTTGCACCAGATATTATCAATCTATTTAATAACACAGGCAAAAGGCAGGTCTAGAGACCGTAAGGCACATGAATGGTTGGACACCAGGCTAGAACATCTGTCTTATTGTCAGCAGCAAAGAAGTATTTTACTCACCCTGTTTTGACACTGAATTAGTGACTTCTTCATTTTGTAACCATTAAAACATCTCACTAAACATTGAGAGGGGCTTCATTTAAATCATAGAGCAACAACGAAAATGCTTCTAGCTAAACTGCCTATTCTGGAAGCATCGGCTTTTTAATGTTCCATGTAGGCCTCTTGTCATACTTCTGTCGTTGAACAACGTTCTCCCTCTCGTCTTCCAGTCTCATTCAGAATTTTTAGGAGACCACGATATGTGGAAACACACTGCCCAGTATTGTTTGATACATTTTTATTTGATAAACATTCAGTGCAGGGAACTGTGATTGCTATGTTTGTATATATAATCTTATTATGTAGTCATCAGAATTTTAACATATGGTACATTTGATTATTGTTTTTTACATGCATAGTTCTCTCTTCCCAGTCAAAACATTTATATTATTGGGGGTGGGGGCAGGGAATTAAGTTGATGGGCTCAAAAATCCATTTGTATGTATCTGTCTATGGAGATATTTTAAGTTTGAAGCCTAAGTTATATAATAGCTCAGCAATGCTCTTCAGTGTTTACCATAGCCACAATCTTCTATAAGAAAATGAGTCTCTTTTGCAAATCCTTATCAACACTAAGGTGGCTCTTTCAACTTAGCACATCTAAGACAGGATTTAGTTCATTTGTAGCTTGCATAGGTGTCTGCTGACTTTCATTTGCTATTGAGTACAACATTGAGGGGTTCTCCATAAAATACAAGTGCTAACACTACAAAGAGATGCAAACTATTATTATTTCTACAACATACATGATATGGATTTAAAAATTATTACTCAGGGCCTAGAATTTCTGGAGTTTGTGATTTTTTCCCCCAAATCAGTAGCAAGAGCATTTGTTGAATATTTTATATTTTAGTAAAACCAAGTATAAAATACAAGTATCATAAGTATAATATTAAATCATATTTCAATAGTTTTTCTGGAATGTGCTTTAAGAAAATATGTTTTATGTACTATTTTCTAGAGACATACTGCTATAGAATGGTGCACTTTTAGAAATTGAGCATTACTAGAAATTATAACTTTTGAGTTATTGCAAAAATTTGCCAAATAGCATCTTTAAGATGTATTTCCATTTTAATTCACCTAAAGAGTATACCAAAATAAAAAAATGGAAAAGATACCTTGGTGTTAAAACAAAGGTTTAATCTGAATGTATTTAGATGTAAATATCAAAGATTAATCCAAAAAAAGGAAAACTGTAAAATTTGTATATATTTTGAATGCTTTACATTTGAAATAACTTGAAAATACCGACATTTGTAATTATATGAATATTCAAGAGCAATACTACAATGCCAAGTATTAAAGCACCATTTTTTTTTCTCATGGCTATTTTCAGAATTACAGTTCACAGACTGCAGGGCAGACTTACACATGGTATCTTGTACCGGTTAATTTAACCTCATTTATAAACAGATGAAAATTTTATTTTCTTATTTCCTTTATAAAATGGTTAAATGTACTGGGAGGCTTTTTTATTATAGAAAGTGTATATTGGTATATAATAAATGAACTTTTCAAATGACTATGTGATTGTGTTATTGAATGTTGTGATTTTTACATGAACATAAAATTTTAAGTCTAAATATTTCATATTGGTGTATGTTCCATTTTCATTGTTACTCTTGACATAACTACCATCTATAGCTGTGAAAAAATAGTTGTCATCTTATTTTGGCAAATCACACAGCTAATTCTAAATTATTTTCATTTTCTGTCATCACATGTATACCACCTAGAATGAATGTATAAGACATGAGTCTCTGATTAATTAGGGAGAATTCATTCAGGAAGAAACATTAAAATAGGAAAGACACAGAAGATGTGGGAGAAGAAAAAACATGGAAGCATTGAGGACTGGGCAAAAATGGACAATTAGTGGGGTTGACAGGCCCTATGGTAAGTGTACACTTAACTTTCTAAGAAACTCCTGAAGAGTTCTCCAAAGTGTTTCTATCATTTTCTTTTCCACCAATAACACACGAGTTCCAGTTGCTCCCAGCCTTGCCAACATTTGGCATTGTCAATGGCCTTTCACGCTGTGTAAAATGATTCCCATTTCCACTCCCATAGTGACTAGCGCTAGAAACTTTTCATGTGTTTGGTGGCCGTCCATGTCTCCTTTTGTGAAGTGTTTGTTCAAATCTTTTGCCCATTTTAAAAATTAGGTTGTTTGTCCTCTTACTGTGGATTTGTCAGAGTTCTTTATATATTCTGTACTCATGTCCTTTGTCAGAACACAAATGTATTTTCCCAGTTGATGCATGCCTACTCATTCATCTAGACTTGATTTTTGTTTTTTACATGTGTAGTTCTCTCTTTTCACAGTCAAAAGTGTCTCAATCACACCTTCTGGGGCCAGGTCTTAGGAGCTCAGAGTTCTGCATTCCTGTCTTCTGGAGTAAGGTTAATTGGAATGGTATGTCGTAATTAATGTTTAGATTTTCAAATGTTGAGAGTAAGTCTTTTGAGGGGGTTGAGTTTTTTCTTTGTAGTTAGCTTTATTTAGAGTATGTTAGTCTAGTTCTAGTTGTTTTATACAGATAATCAATATTAAAAATAATTTTTAAGTCACTTTAAATCTTGTTTAGGAGATCCAGTACTGACTACATGCTCAGGACATCAAAAACTGTTCCTAGCTACCTGTTATCTTATTAGTTTTTTCCAGCCCTTGTTAAAGGCACATGTAGATGAAACAGGAGAAATTATTTCACTCAGTTTTCATGTACCAGTTTTGAAGTTTTTTTTCTGTACCAGTTTTGAAGTTCAGTTTGCTTAGCCTTTGTTTCTGTAGCATGCACCCGTCTTTTCCTAATTTTGCTCTAATTATTCAGTAGAAACTATTGAAATTAATTTTTAAAAAATCAGTTAACAGCCTTTCTTCATACCATACTCCAAAATGAAAAACAAATTAATATGAAAGCAGAGATACACCCCTTCAGAAGAATTATTTGAAGCTACATGTGAAAGTAAAACAGTAATGGATAGCTATACATAACTGTACAGTGGTAAAGTGTACATTTATGAAAAATGGTAGCTACTACAAAAGACAAACCAAAATATTCTTTGACTGGTTAGCCAGAGACAGGTAAGATTCCTCAAGGGAGGAACAACCTAAGACAGGCACAGTCGCAGGGGGGCCATCAGGTGAGAAATTGGGGATCAACAGGTGAGGCTTAGAACCTCACCCCCCGTTTTGAGAGAAATTTTCTGCATCCGTGGATGTTTTGTTGCCCTTGTCTAGCTTGGATTAACACTTAGTCTACAGGCACACACCTGATCATCTACATTTGCTCTCTTACAACACTAAACTATGTTTTCTACCTTTATCTTGCATCTACCTACCACTTCAGCATTTTATTAAAAATAATAATAATAATAATAA